TGATCTCTGATCTCTACACTGATCTCCATAACGGTAACCAATTACGATTTTCTCCTTCAGAGATTCTGATGGTATGGTGACTTCAAATGAAACACAGAGTAAACCTCTGTTAATTCTCAATGAAATCTTCTGTAGAAGTCTGACAGAAATAAAGTCAGTCTGGTTAGTAATAAGTGAAGCTGCTGTTTGTGGAGTTGTTTAATCCTCCTCTGCTGAAATCTTCAGATTTAATCTTCTCTTCAGGTGATTTCATTTAAGACTGTGTCATCTCCTTTTCTGTTCTCTTCAGAGGAGTAAAGTCCAGGTTCAGAAAGTAAAAGTCCGCCTCAGTATTTTGTTCCAATCACCTGGATTTGCTTATTAGCAGTTTTTCAGCCAGGAGACAGAAATCAGCCCTAATCAACTGTCAATCAGTTCATGGCAGGAATAAACACATGGCAGGACTTCTACTTTTTTTCTACTTCTACTTCTACTTTATACAACACTGTGCGCATCTAATCAGTAAAGCCGGTTCCTTGATTAGCAGTAAATCACCTTCACATGCTTTCAAATGGACGATATGAGTGTTAAAGTTAACGAGATAATTAAGTGATTAATTTAGTGATGATTGAGCATTATTGAAGACACCTGATGATCACAAGCAGAATCGCTGAAGGACAAAATCACAAATTGTAAGTCACCGTTATGGAGATCAGTGTCTGCTTTGGTTGGGCTCTTGACACTTATACTTTCACTTTAAATTTTGTGTGTCTGCTGTTATTGATTAATAACAGTCAAATAAGACATCTTTGATCTTATAGTGTTGGTTATGTTTTGACATAATCATGCTGTGATCTGTAAAATGAAACTTTTCAGATGTTTTGGCTTAACTTGTTAGCAAGACTTTAGTGATTGTACTGCATATCTGTATTTTTCTATTAACCTAAAATAATTAATAAATATTATTCTGATCAAATCACTTTCATGCTTATTTAGAAACACAGAGATCAATAATCAGCCTGTCTATCTCAACTGTGGTGGCGATATTAATCATTGTTGCCACCAATCACAACTCATTAATGGCTCCCATCATGCATTGCGGTTTGAATAAATTATGATCTGAATTGTCGATGTAATTTACTTTTCCTACTTGAATATTCTACTCGTCACCGTTGTTGAGAAGCATTGACTGAATCTTGAGGTCTGTGTGTGCCTAAAGGAAGGGTTTTTTTCTTTTAAGCAACTTTTGAGAAAACTGTCTATTATTTTTAACATTCTGGACATTTATTCAGAATCTAAGTCATACACTAAGCAACAGAATAAATTATATGTTATAAATTTTATAAATAAATGTATAAATAAATGTTATTATACATTTTATATATAATGAGATAGATTTCAAACGATAAATGTCATTATATGCCTACGATCATTTTATTATTGTTTATTTTTGTTCATCTGATAGATATAACTCAGATGCAACAGCAAATTAAAATATAAAGTTAATATTATAAGGGTGAAGAGCCCAACTAAAGCAAACACTCATCTCCATAACGGTGGCTTAAAATTTTAGATTTTTTCCTTGTGATTCTGCTTTAGCTGTCTTCAATAATGCTCAATCATCACTCATTTAATCACTTAATTATCTTATTAACTTTAACACTCTTGAGTGTGGACTCATATACACTCCCAGGTGTGTTAATTTAACACGGGAGATTTTGTCATGACGAAGAGCCGTAGTTCACTGACCAGCTGAGCCATATCGCATTAAATATCGATATCGATATGTCCTCGATATTAACGCGATTTGGCTCAGCTTGTCAGTGATCTACGGCTCTTTGTAGTGAATGCCGCTCCATCTGAAAGCAGGTGAAGGTGATTTACTGCTAATCAAGGAACCGGCTTTACTGATTAGATGCGCATTCAATATCGTTCGATATATCGCCCAGCCCTACTCTAACATGAGATATTAGAGGGAAAGGGGGAAAAATGTCATTTCCACAACCGTCATATTTTTCTTTTATTATTATTATTTTATTTAAATAATAAAAAAAATATTATTTAAAAAAAATATTTGTATGGTTTTTTTTGGTAAAACATAAAAAATTAAGGTAATGATGGTGGTGGTGTTGATTATTTAGCAGTTAAGGGTAAAGTATATGTATATGAGTTGAAAAATATCAGATTTGAAAATATAATAAAATTCAGAAATATGAATGAAAGGTTTCAGTGGCTTAGTGTTCAGCGTTTTTTGGTGTTTACTTTGTAAAATCTTAACCGTTGCATTTCAGAGAAATAAATGAATTTACAATTTGGAAACATGCAAGTGTGATGTGTAACCCAATATATTTATAACTACAAATATTTCAACATATTTGGTTGAAAACACATGTTTTTGTTCGGTTGTGGAAATGACAATTTATCAGAGTTGTATAAAGTAGAAGTAGAAAGTAGAAATTCTGCCATGTCTTACTTTCAGCCATGAACGGATTGACAGTTGATTAGGGCTGATTTCTGTCTCCTGGCTGAAAAACTGCTAATAAGCAAATCCAGGTGATTGGAACAAAATACTGAGGCGGACTTTTACTTTCTGAACCTGGACTTTACTCCTCTGAAGAGAACAGAAAAGGAGACGACACAGTCTTAGATGAAATCACCTGAAGAGAAGACATTAAATCTGAAGATCTCAGCAGAGGAGGATTAAACAACTCCACAAACAGCATTGCCAGCTTCACTTATTACTAACCAGACTGACTTTATTTCTGTCAGACTTCTACAGAAGATTTTATTGAAAATTAACAGAGGTTTATCTCGGTTTCATTTAAAGTCACCATAACAGTGATTAGTGTTTCCATTAGACAGGCTCTTTACACTTATTATATGTTTGATCTCTTCTGTCTGCTGTGACAGTGTGTTTGTCAGACACATTTACAGTAACAAAGTTTAACTGAATCAGGTGATGAAGATTACCTGGTGATGGTTTTATAATCATCATGAAAAAGCCTGATTCACTGAGGTATTTGAATATAATAATTATTTTGACAAATTATTTTCAAAAAACAAAACCTGTAACTAGGCCTGGACGACATATTGCACGATATTGTTATGCTCGTCTAATCAGTGAAGCCGGTTCCTTGAAATCACCTTCACCTGCTTTCAGATGGACGATACGAGTGTTAAATTAACACTCAAGAATGTTAAAGTTAATGAGATAATTAAGTGATTAATTTAGTGATGATTGAGCATTATTGAAGACACCTGATGATCACAAGCAGAATCACTGAAGGACAAAATCACAAATTGTAAGTCACCGTTATGGAGATCAGTGTCTGCTTTAGTTGGGCTCTTGACACTTTTACTTTCACTTTAAACTTTGTTTGACTGCTGTTATTAATTTATAACAGTCAAATGAACAAAGAAAAGTGTGATCTGAGATTGTAGGTTGTGTTTTGGCATAATCATGCTGTGATCTGTAAAATGAAACTTTTCATATTATTTGGTTTAACTTGATAGCAGCATTTTAGTGATTATAAAGCATATGATTATCAATATTTTTCTGATATTCCAAAATATTTAATATAAATTATTCTGATCAAATCACTTTCAAATGCATTTATATAGAAACACAGACATCAATAATCAGCCTGTGAATCTCAACCGTGGTGACCACATAATCCTTGTTGCCACCAATCACAACTCATTAATGGCTCCCATCATGCATTGCGGTATGAATAAATTATGATCTGAATTGTCTATGTAAGTTACTTTTCCTAATTGAATATTCTGCTCGTCACCGTTGTTGAGAAGCATTGACTGAATCTTGAGGTCTGTGTGTGCCTTCAACAAAGATTTTTTTTTTTTTTTACAACTTTTAAGAAATCCTTTACATTATAAATTCTGGATATCTGTGCAGAATCTCAGTTATGCTGTAACCAACAAAATAAATCACAAATACTAAATTCAAATGACGATTGTCACAATATAACCAAAACTATTAGTTTGTATGTTTTTTAATTGTTCATCTGACTGTTTTAACTGAGATACAACAGTCGAACAAAACCTAAAGTTAATATAAGGCTCAAGAGCCCAACTAAAGACTGATCTCTGATCTCTACACTGATCTCCATAATGGTAACCAATTACGATTTTCACCTTCAGAGATTCTGATGGTATGGTGACTTCAAATGAAACAGAGTAAACCTCTGTTAATTCTCAATAAAATCTTCTGTAGAAGTCTGACAGAAATAAAGTCAGTCTGGTTAGTAATAAGTGAAGCTGGCAATGCTGTTTGTGGAGTTGTTTAATCCTCCTCTGCTGAGATCTTCAGATTTAATGTCTTCTCTTCAGGTGATTTCATCTAAGACTGTGTCGTCTCCTTTTCTGTTCTCTTCAGAGGAGTAAAGTCCAGGTTCAGAAAGTAAAAGTCCGCCTCAGTATTTTGTTCCAATCACCTGGATTTGCTTATTAGCAGTTTTTCAGCCAGGAGACAGAAATCAGCCCTAATCAACTGTCAATCAGTTAATGGCTGGAATAAACACATGGCAGGATTTCTACTTTTTTTCTACTTCTACTTCTACTTTATACAACACTGCAATTTATTTTGCGATGTCTGAAAAAAACATAAAAAAAACCATATTATTTCATAAAAATCAGCACAGCCAACTTCAGGGCAGGTAACTAGGCATACTGGGGAAACAAATTATGCCAGTAATATTTTAATTAAAAATGTTTCATTTTCTGAAAATGTCCAGGTCTAAAAAGTACCACAGTTGGAGAATCACCCTGTAGGAAATATGATAATGAGAGATGTTATCTTATTATTTTCAGTTTGTTTATTTGTTTTGCTTGGTTTTTATGTTTTATTTATATTTTGTATTAAAGCACATAGCTTGATCCCATGCTTGATCCATATTCCATTCCAGTTGGTGGCGGTAATGAACTAATAAGATAGGTCGCCAACCGCCAATACACCAAAGAAGAAGAAAACGAAAACGAAAGTAACAACAGCTGACAACTAAACCTGTCGCTCACTGGATTTGATTTCATCTATGGTTCAGAAAACATGAGTTTACAAATAAATAAATTTTATAAATTCTCTTCTTAGTGGACAAGACTGCAAGTAAGTTTATTACATTCTCCATTACAGTCATTATTGATTAGGAACTTCATATTGTGTATTAAGCGAGATTTAAATGTGAAGTTATAGAAGGCTGTTCTCCTGCTACTCCGAACAGAAGAAGAATCTGACTGAAATTACAATCTTTTGAAGTAAAAACACAAAAAGTTTTATTGAGAAACGTTTGTTCAACACGAATATGTTTCTAAAACGTTTTCTCCCATTTCCTCTTCCGTGTTATAGGCTGTTGTTTTTTTTTTTTTTTTATGTGAAATCGAAAGTATTTTTGAAGCAGACATTTACAGTAGACAGACAGATGAAGCCTAACGTCAATCAACAACTGCTGTTATTAAACTCAAAATTTCAGTTCGTATATAGCAATTATGATTAGTAGTATTTCAATATGTCTCTTATAATTTAGGTTACTTTTACTTAATTAGTCATTGTGAACTTGAACTAATGATTGAATGGCAAACGATTAAAACATTTATAAAGATTGGGTAAATATGATTATAAAATGATATTATACTGTAATAGAGAATATAACTAATTGGGTTCAGTTTTCCAGCACAGTGTACATTTCTGTTCCCCAATGAATTCATACTGTATTTAGATTCAGTTAAACTCATTAAACAATCAGAAATTATTAAGACCATTCGGTTATTTTACATGGCAATATATTTGTTTGTAACTCACTTTATTTGATAGATTGTTTTTGCTGTTGCTGTTGTTGATGTGTGTAAATGTTGTGATTTGCAGGTGATGCTGAAGGATTGAGTGTTTTCTGATCAGTTTTCAGGGTCAGTTTAGCTGCAGTATGTCAGAGGAAAGAGGAAAGGACTCTCTCTCTCAGATGAGTCTCTCAGAGAAACACAGGTGAGACTGCGTCTGTTTTCACACTCTCACTTTAAACTCCACTGGACTTTGTGTTTCCCTGTCAATAACACAACTTTAAGCATTGCGCTGTATTTGAAAATGCTTTGACCAACTTCAATTTGAACTTCTTAAATTAACTCTAGCTTTGTGTATAAAGCCCTGTTTGGTCTATAGAAAATATCACAGTTTTAATAACCTTCTAGACGCTCAATTATTCCAAATAAATGACTTTAGTTTTTAGATCATAAAATTATTGATTGACATTAGAAAACAACTATACACTTAATTTAATTCAAGTATGATAACAAAACTGTGTCGCACATTTCCGCTCTCTATTCTGTCAATAAATAAAAATGTGAAATGTTCTCTTAAATTATGGCCAGGTATGTTTTAAATTCTCAACATGTTTAATCTCTCTCTTGTATATTAAAGAAATTGATACACTAATGTGAGTCAGTAAATAAAATGATGGTTAAGTATAAAACTGTAAATTGTGTGAGTGTGTGTGTTTCTGTGGAGGATTAGATGAAGACACAGATGTGTTTCAGACACAGTTGATCCTCCTTTACTAAAGTGTTTTCTCTCTCTCTCTGTTCTTTGTGTCATCAGTGTAAGATCAGGCTCACATGTGTCCAGCTCTGTGTCTCTGAAGAGTGATCAGTCTAAAGAAGGAGAAGGACCATACTTCAGTGAGAAAACACCATCATCTAATGAAAGGTATTTTGTGTGTTTACATTACATTATAGGGTTGTATTATTTGTCCACAGTGGTGTGTGTGATTGAACTTGACTGTGTAAGGGGATTTATGAAACTCACTCCAGTAACACAGTTACACAGGCAGACACAAGGAGGCATACATTCATTCATTATGAAAAATAAATCATGCAACTAAACATGTTCATCCATCCAGTGCTTTAAGTGGCCCAAAAGAGGTACCGGTACTCTATTATTATTATTTATTATTTTTATTTTATTTATTTATTTATTTTTGCTGACTCCCCTCCTCCCCTGAGGTAACAACAACTATATTGAAGGGTTGTATATTCAGCAATCAACAGACGACTGTTATATATCGTCTGTTGTAAAAAATAATTTAATTGTGGATTTTCTTGAGCTAGAATGAGCTACTAAACAAAATAAATAAAATGTGCAAAAGGGTATTGAAGACATTTTGAACAAATATACACACACATGTACATACATAAAATATAATAACCAAATAGGGATGTGACGAGACACTTATCTCACGAGACGAGAAGAGACACGAGATTGGTTTCACGAGAACGAGACGAAAATTTTGCACAATTTTTCAGAAATCCCAATAAATCCTCAATAATTAATGACTGGAAAAATAGTATGCAGGTGCATTTTGCAATCTTTTAACTAATAATGCACTAATGCATGTCATTTCAGGTCTACTTTATGAGTAGGAATTATCAAATGCATTGAAAGAAAACAATATACAAGCAGTGTAAAAGGTTTTTATTGACTGGCTTTTCTCCTGTTTGATTTCACATGAGTCTCTTCAGACCTTACTGTACATTTAAGAGCTTCCAGAACTTCTGATTGAGGCTGTGTGTGACCTCCTAACTGAACTCATTGAAGTCTGAAGTGCAAACAATAAGTGCAAGTGCAACCATAATCAAAGTTAACACACAGACTCTTTATAATTGTTTTGAAATTGCTGTTTTATTTTGCACCAGCAGTTATAGGGTTAATGCGGCGAGAAACGAGGCTGGTGTGTTTGTCTCTATGTTGTTTTTCTTGTGTTCAAATCATAAGTTCAGAAACAGCCTCCCTTGTCTGTTGTCCCTAAAACATTACAGTACAGAGACCATAGCCGCAAATAAACAGTCCAGAGATGGGTATTGGGAGATTGAAGCCTAATTTGTGTGCAATCAATGCACATTAGGGAGCTTGTGTTTTACTTTCGAATTGGTGATTGCGCGTACTCTGTGTATAGGGAGCAGCGGTGCTGAGCGTGCATTATACAAGATAAGACATTTATCAGACATTTAGTCTGTGTTGTGCAACGAATCCTCCGCCATTGTCTTGCGAACAGTGAACTGTGATTCGTGCTGCACTGATTACAACGGCAACTCGTAATGGATGAGCAGAGCAGACTTTTACATTCGTTTATAATGGTTTTTATTTTCTTTTATATAAATGGCAAAACGATAGTTTAGGCGAATGTGAGAGTGTAGCGGTGGATGGAATATTCTATTGTAATCTCACCCTCACGCTCAGTCATGGCGATATCGCGAGACAGCTTTTCACTCAACAGGAAATCTCGTCATGTTTTTTTCTCGCGAGAACTCGTGGCATGAGATCTCGTCACACCCCTAATAATCATAGAACATTAGAACAAAAACATGAGTCTTGCTATGGTTCATTTCTTTACTTGTTTCACACACACACACACACACACACCCTCTCCGGACCACATTGAATTGACGCCATGGTTGACGCATATAATCAGATTGACGGCTAGATTGGACTAAAAAACCTTCACCTTAATCGATCCGATTGAGCTCGATCTGAATGAAATTTCGATCGGATTGAAAGGGGTGGTTTACCCCTTTTGTAATCCGATCGAGAACATATAAACACTTGATGGGATTGTAAACCGAAACTGGGGTGGTGATGGCGCAGTGGATAAGACACATGCCTTTGGTGTGAGAGTCCCGGGTTGGACTCTACTGTGAGACACCAGTGTGTCCCTGAGCAAGACACTTAACCTCTAGTTGCTCCAGAGGCGTGCGACCTTTTTGGATAAAAGCGTCAGCTAAAGGACTGCGCATGTGCAATGACGCTAAATAAACGCAATGATGGATGACAAGCGGAACGACCTGGTTGTTTTTTATGGTTTAAATAAAAAACAACCAGGTCGTTGTTTATGGTTTTTCCTGTTGAAAAAAGTGTCATATTAATAAGTTTCCCATCATTCTAAAATTCTCATTTTACTCGCGCGCATGTGAATGAAGCAGGACAACCTCCCACCAGTGAATGTTTTGGATTCTCATCCACAGACTTTGGCGGCGGGGAGGGGCATTTTTACTGCATGATCAGTACGGCAGAGATGACCAGAGACGAATTAATATTACGTCTGCTGCTGAAAACAAATAAAGAACCAACAGAGGAGAATATTTATGAGCAAACAGCGGGGAAACTCAAAAAATCAGATCCGATTTAAAACTTGTGACATATAAACGCGCACTTCAATCCGATTTCAGTTTCGGTTCATTTGAGACGAGAGTCCAGTTCACGCGCCGGCACCTCCGTTTCGTGATGACCTATTTTCTACTATTTACTTATTTATTATATCAATGCAATTGGTTGATGTAAAAATTTATTAAAATTAAGATACAATTAATAAAAAACGAAATTCACTTTAAAGAAAGCCTTTGTGTATATTTTATTATGTTAACTTCAGATTTAAAAATGTGGTAGCCCTACGTCTGACACATCACACGCCACTGGTATGATGGCAATTTCAGTAGATTTACTCATTATTACATTGTTCTGGAAACACAATAATGTTAGGAAACTAAAATGTGGTAGTATCGTGCTACAGCGCACATTATATCAGCTGCAGTCCCAATACTGTAAAACTACTAAGGAAGATGTGTTAACTAATCAGTATGTAATATAATTTTATGATTGTGTTAAGTTAGTTAATCAATAACTAATGAATTCTGTCATACCTCCTGAAGAACTACTACTAATTATCTACTTAATTAAGGTTCAAGAAAAATAACTAAGATGTAACTACTGAACAGTCATACAAGACTAACCTCAGATTATTTGTATTTGTATTTGTATTATTTGTGTGTGTCTGTTTTCCTCAGCATAGAATGCCACTGAGTAAATTCATGTATTTGAGGCAACGACTGAGGGAAACTAAAAATATTGGGAACTTATAAGTAATTAATAAATAAGAATCAAATAATTCTGCAGGAATTACTTAGAAGCTGGAACAGTATTCTAAAGTGAAAATATAGAGAACCCATTAGTAATTAATAAAGAGTTTTTAAATAATTAGGTAACACTTTACGGTAAGGGTACATGAATTATCATGAATTCATGTATAAATGAATGCATGAATTATGCATTCATTCATGCATTATTTCTCATGAATCATCAGGAACTAACACAAGTTCAACGTTTTTCATTCATGACTTCATGAATGAACAACACCTTAATTAAAACATTAACTAAGATACGCACATCACCATGAATTATGATTTATTACGCATGATCATGATGTTTTCTTTGTTCTTTGTCTAGGTCAGTGACCTAGTCACCACTTTAGTTAAGGGGCCACACACATGATGAAGTCATTAATAGATTATTGCTTAGTTAATGATGACTATTGGACAGACACCATAATAGACCAATCACAGCTCATAGCACAAACATTCTGTAAATCAAATACAGAAGTCATCATTAACTAAGCATTATCTATCAATGACTTCATCATGAGTGTGGCCCCTCAACTAAAGTGGGGACTAGGTCCTTTGAAACACTGATGAACAATGTGCTATTGAAAGGTGGCATAACTGTGAACTAAGAAAACATCATGATCATGCGTAATAAATCATAATTCATGGTGATGTGCTCATCTTAGTTAATGTTTTAATTAAGGTGTTGTTCATTCATGAAGTCATGAATGAAAAACGTTGAACTTGTGTTAGTTCCTGATGATTCATAAGAAATAATGCATGAATGAATGCATAATTCATGCATTCATTTATACATGAATTCATGATAATTCATGTACCCTTACCGTAAAGTGTTACCAATAATTATCCAGGAATTAGACTACTTATAATCTGAAACAGTCTTCTAAAGTGAAAATATAAAGAACTTATTAGTAATTAATAAATAACTTTTAAATAGTTCTTCAGGAATTAATTAGAACCTGGAACAGTATTCTAAAGTGACAATACAGGGAACCTGTAAAACCTGGCTCGATTGGCCCAATTGCGGCATCCAATCAGCAAGAGAAGGTTACTCTGCGTATTTCTTGCCTTTCCTTCACGCAACACAACAAGATTAAATACAATGTATTTTCTTATATGTATTGACTCGTTTATTCATCTGACTCCATAAAATGAATAGGCTTTAATGATATCCGTGAATCATTAAACGTAAGTGCATGTTTGATTATCCAATTCGACACTGAGTTTTAGTTTATCCTTAATCAGGATACAATATCGCTCTGCAGTACTTATCTCAAAGCCCGCACGGCACACCCCCGTCAGTTCCAATAACCAATTCAGAGGTAATTTGACTTAATATCTAAGATCTGCCGTATTCACACGTACAATCAGAGATATCTTTACAAGTCCCCTTGAATGCCTTCTCTAGAACTTAAATCAATGTATTACTATGGTAGGGACGAAAATGACCACCATGAAAGAAAACAGTTAATCAACTCAACTTCTCTTAAAATGGTTTCGGTCAACACCCGCGGCCTGAAAACCACGCACGTTTATCCAAAATAATCATTAACTCAAAACAGTGAATATGGGCACACCCAAAACTAGGTTGATTAAAACAGCGTTTGCTGATTCTAGTCGGAAATAACTTGCCCCCTCATTCAAGTACACTTTAAAAGGTATCGGATGTTAGCCGTCGCTAATCTGACGCGAATGTGGAAATATTCGAATCCAATGATCTAGGAAAAATAACTTCTCAGAGTCACTCGAAATAAAATCAAATGTTTACAATTTATTGAACAGGTAATTTGAAGCAATGATTTAAGTCCAATTCAAAAACATAGAAGATCAGTTAAGCATTTCATTTCAAAGATTCCGAAATCACAAGATTTGTAGAAAATATTACCTGTCAATAGAATTACACACAGCGATTGTGCGGGTAGTCAACCTACAGACTCTCCGAACCTTTCTGTTCCTTTTCCTTATAAACCCAGATAATTCAATTATCACCAACTGATGAGGTCTGTCTTTATAATTAGATTATGGTTACCAAATGATGAGGTCTGTCTGATTTTACATACAGGAGGTAGTCTGGATGAAGCTGTTAAGGGACCAATCACCTTCTCATGTTCTATAACTTCTTTCAGTTTTTCATCATAACCGGGAAAAAGAGACCATTTTACCAGGCGCACTGTGACACTTCAAAAACACCAAACATGAATAGTTACATTTAGTACACACATCACATTGCATAAGTTTTTGGTGTATTTCAGGTGAGGAGGAGAGGGGGGTGTGGGGGAGATAGTGTGTGTGTGAAGTGTGAACTGTTCTGTGTGCTGTGCCTCCAAAGTTTCTGTTACATGTGCAAAGGTCAGTTACACATTCAATAGACATTTCAAGTGTTGATTCTCATGTGAGTCTTTCGCCACATCGAGTGGTCGACCAGACATACTGGTACCAGCCTTACAGCTCCCTCCTTTGGCACCGTGGGCCACTCACAGGGTTTCCTGCGGTGTCACTTCAGTCTTTGTAAGGTGGGCAACTTCAATGAGCTGAGAGTCAAGATAGTGTTGGTAGATGTTTTTACCGATCTGATGAGATGTCGGAAGTAGCAACATTGGAATACTGTGAAGGTGAAGATGAGTGCGCTTCCAACCGCACAACCTCGAAGTACCCAGTCCCACCAGGTGTATGCAGTCTGTGCCGATCTGGTAGATGAGCTAGACAGAATCTGTGCAGTCTTTCGCGCCAAGTTCGTCTCCACTTGCGCCTGAGATAGATGGTACTCTGTTTGGAGGATAACGTTCTGTACCAGCTCCATCGTGTCGACCAGGGCTTGTGTTCCGTGTTCATAAAAAGTGTCGTCCCACCATGGAGAAACATCTACGTCCGTTGGCATCCTTCCGAGGATGTCGATCTGCCCCATAGTAAAGTCCTCTGTCACCTCCAAGCAGAAGGAGTGATTAGCAGGACAGGTCAGTCCTCCATACGTGAACGAGTTCATCTCACTGATGACGCACCACTGCGTATGAGACACCTGAATAGCATTTGAATGGCCATGCAACGATTCAACATTTATGAGTTTGCTATCATTGGAGGAAAAAGGCTGTAGTGTGTTACATGTACATACAACATAATTGTGAGTTTCATGACAACAGGTGCGACTGGTAAATAAGGTCTCAGTACCCTTCAAAGTCATGTATCCAGTGAGGTGATCCCATTTAATTACCTGATCTTTGACTACCATGCCAATGGAACGAATAGTGGTGGAATTTGGATAAACTTGATCTGGGTGGATTAAAGGAAAAGTAGCAAAAAATCCAATACAACCAATACATTCATTTCCAGTGTACATCATAATAGTAGATAAAAGTTCTGAATATTTGACATTTTTCATTTTTTCTGAAGAGAACCATCTATGTAAATCTAAAACTTCAATTAAATCATTCAACACATGTCTCGGTGTCTTGTGAAGACGAAGATCTAAAATTTCCTGTCTTGTGGCAGTGAACAAATCTTGTGCATATGATCTGCAGGCTAAGTCGCGTTCGATGGTACGGGTCTGATTGAACAGCGTATGGCTGACTGTCAGAAGTGCCTGAGCCTCGGAACGAACCGCTTTGATAATGTTATCATTGCTATTTGTGATGTGTTGAAAACCAGTGGCCATCTGATCTGTCAACCATGTGGAGAATTGGGACTGTTTGGTTATTTTATAGGTGTTGGCCGCTGAATTAATTGATCCAAACAAGCCGGCTATATTGCTGAGTAGGTCTCGTTTTGAACGAGTAGGTGGAATTTGGACGGCCAGTCTGTCTTTATAATCAGAAGTTAAATCATTGATTCGTGACTGTAGCCATGCATATGATTCATCATTAATATTGCAATGTTTTGTGTAGGCAGAAAGTATGTTGGAAATATTGTAAGTTACATGTGTCATTACCAAATTTACATCATGTAGCAAAGTTTTGTTAATATTCCCTCTAATCAGACCACCAGGAGGAACTGGGTGTAATTCTGGACAAATCTTTGGTTTAGTGTATCCGCAGGTGGTCAAATTAAAACAATATGTAGCAGTCCAAGAACAGTTGTGTGGATTGGTGAAATTGTCAATGCTATGTGTACATTCTCCGACACAATACGTTCCTTCTTTTCGATTGGTCCACACAAAAGTTTTTGGCTTCGGTTCGTTAGGTGTGTATGATGTGAGATCATATATTAACTCTTTGAATCTTATGTGTGTGTCATTATGTGTTTCAGTGTGTGTGCACCTATATGTTGCAGGTTCCAAATGTTTAACATAATAGCATAATTTTGGGTCTATCCCATTATTGTTGTTTTCGTGTAGGGTGTACATGCTGCCAATTGTGTCACCTGGATCTATTTTAAGCTGATACCAGGCAGTGAGGTTGTGCATGAATTTTGGTGCTCTAGTGTATCCTGAAATGTTTCTGGTAGGTGGGTGGGTGCTACCTGTACTACAGCAGATTTTTGGTGTGCAATTTGGATCCGGTACTATACCGGGAGGCCATGTAGCTGTCTCTTTAGGTGCGACTGTGATTTTTGGTGTGAAAGGCCCCTTGGAATATTTCCACACCCACCTCCCACATTTCAGGTTGTGTGAGAGTGAAACCCTTTGGCCCAGTCTGATGCACGTGGGCCCGGACACTTTCCTCTCATCCGGCCTCCATGGGGTCGCTGCTGTCAGCCTGGAAGGCAGGAAGAAGAGTTAGTGACGGATATTCATGTATTTTGTGAACCTTTAAATGACTTGCACTGAGACATGTGATACCATCGTAGTTTCCCTTTTATGGTTGTAGCCACACAGCTGTTGCATACAGCCTTAATTTCATACGGGCCATGCCATCTGGGCGTGAAAGCACCTTGCTTCACAAAAACACGTATCATTACCATGTCTCCCTCTGAGAATTTTACCTCAGAATCTGGGTTGAATTGTGCATCATTTGTCAGGTCTGATTGCTGTTGTTTTAGAGCAGCATGTGAAAGAAAGATTCCGAAATCACAAGATTTGTAGAAAATATTACCTGTCAATAGAATTACACACAGCGATTGTGCGGGTAGTCAACCTACAGACTCTCCGAACCTTTCTGTTCCTTTTCCTTATAAACCCAGATAATTCAATTATCACCAACTGATGAGGTCTGTCTTTATAATTAGATTATGGTTACCAAATGATGAGGTCTGTCTGATTTTACATACAGGAGGTAGTCTGGATGAAGCTGTTAAGGGACCAATCACCTTCTCATGTTCTATAACTTCTTTCAGTTTTTCATCATAACCGGGAAAAAGAGACCATTTTACCAGGCGCACTGTGACACTTCAAAAACACCAAACATGAATAGTTACATTTAGTACACACATCACATTGCATAAGTTTTTGGTGTATTTCAGGTGAGGAGGAGAGGGGGGTGTGGGGGAGATAGTGTGTGTGTGAAGTGTGAACTGTTCTGTGTGCTGTGCCTCCAAAGTTTCTGTTACATGTGCAAAGGTCAGTTACACATTCAATAGACATTTCAAGTGTTGATTCTCATGTGAGTCTTTCGCCACATCGAGTGGTCGACCAGACATACTGGTACCAGCCTTACAAACCCATTAGTAATTAATAAAGAATTACCACATACTTCTGACTCAAATCAAACTTACTGTAACATTTTTTTATTTTGTTTTAACATGTATAATATTGTTTACATTTAAACTCATTTAACAAACATTTTAGAATTAAAAAAAAAAAAATACTTGACTCCATAACCTGCCCATAACAGTGCACAGCTCTGAGAACAGATTTTAACATCTGATGTAAATAGATTTAGCTAGCTGGGTAACTGACATCGTGTATGTTGCCTTGCATAAAACAAAATGATTTACAGCACAGTAATGATTTTATGGATTAAATAAAACGTACACAAATCTGTATTTCGCTAAAGAAATGCACCAAATCGGCGGCGCTGAGAACTCTCCAGAGGATTGAGGATGCAAATGCCCGTGCTCTTGCGTCACCAAATCACTGTCAAGTCAAGTCAAGTCACCTTTATTTATATAGCGCTTTTTACAATACAAATTGTTTCAAAGCAGCTTCACATAGACAACAGGAAAACAATGTTATAATAGTATTGTTAAATTTAAATTAAATGTTAAATGTCCCTAACTAAGCAAGCCAAAAGCCAATGGCGACAAAGGCGAAGAGAGGTGAAAAAGGCAACAGTGGCAAGGAACCAAAACTCCATCAGTTAACAGAATGGAGAAAAAACCTTGGGAGAAGCCAGGCTCAGTTTATGTGGCTACCGCGATATTGCCGGAACTTGAATAGTGCAAAAGAAGTTTAAAATGTATGCAGCCAGCTAAGTATAATAATAAGGTGTAATATACATGATATATTTTTACTTATTTGCAGATCATAGCCTATAGGAAAATGTCTGCACTTATCTTTCTTATTAGTGCTGAAGAATGACAAACTGACTACTGTGTATGACTGTTAATTAGTAGTGTTATGAACTGCTCCGAGACTTGGAGATGAAGATCCAAATGCAGCTTTAATTTAAGAATAGTCGTACAGGCAGGGTCGAGAATCAGCAGACAGGACAATGGAGAATACACAGTGGGAATCCAAGAAACAGGCAGAGGTCAGGGCAGGCAGCAATAATCAGAATCCAAGAACAATCCAAAAATCAAAAACCAGAAACCGCTCAGAAATGCAGACACACAGTACAACAAGACTTCGCAGGGATTGAACAAATTAACCAGGTATATATAGACAGACAAACAGGAAGAGACACAGGTGATTGCAATCAATGAATGAGGTACAGGTGATTGTGGTCAGTGAGGAGTCCGGGCATTGAGTTCTGGGAAATGTAGTTGTGAGTGAAACATGAACATCTGGTGTGGAGTGCCCTCTGGTGACTCTCAAGGGCACTCCACCTGGTAACCGTTACAAGTAGTTACTTCATAGTTATTTTTCTTGAACCTTAATTAATAGATAATTAATAGTAGTTCTTCAGGAGGTATGACAGAATTCATTAGCTATTGGTTAACTAACTGATACTTAACACAATCATAAAATTATATTACATACTGATTAGTTAACACATCTTCCTTAGTACTTAACACTAGTGACTTATGTGTTAATAAAGAATTACCTATTAGTTCTTAATTAATTCCTTATTAGTTATGCAGTAAGTAAGATACAGTATTCTAAAGTGTTACCCACTTTTTCTGAGGCATGTGCGCGCACTGTCAAACAGTGCCAAACTGGAGTTTTGTTGGGTAAGACCCATCTGATTGCAATGAGGGGCCGAGACCGAGAAAGCTACATGGAAAAAATATCCACCAAACAAGCCACTTTGAAATTTTGCTTTTTTCAGGAATGCAAAAGTTGGGTGACCCTCTCCCTAGACTAAAAAATGTTGGATCACCCTCCCCTCAACAAAGAATAAAAAGATATGACCCTCCCTTATTTTCCTCCGTTGGCCCTTTCCATAAATACCGAACAGTGTCGGTAATGAACAAATTGAAATAATGAAAAAAAAGGCTGCATTTAATTACTATTTGCAACATTAAAAACTTTCAACTGTTCAATGTTTGTGTCATCAGTGTAAGATCAGGCTCACATGTGTCCAGCTCTGTGTCTCTGAAGAGTGATTGGTCTAAAGATGGAGAATTACCAAACTTCAGTGAGAAAACACCATCATCTAATAAAAGGTATTTTGTTATACTATTTTTTTTTTTGTCACATGTTGACTGTTTAAAAGTTGTATCAGTGAATACCAATCATGAAACAAGTTTAGATCAAATATTTGTCAGAGTATTCACAGCTAATGCTTATTTCTCTTTCTGTAAAATATCAGTTAGTATTTTATTTTACTAATGTGATTACAGGCTTCAATATGAGACATTAGACTCAGACCTTCAGACTCACAGGAACCACGAGAATTTCAAAGACAATCTTCTTGGGATCTTCCAGGTAGGAAAACAAATTTTATAAATATGTAATATTTATAACAAACAAATATGTTATTGAACACATTTTAGCACAACTTGGTTAGCATGTTAGTCTTTTAACTGGATGTATTATAATTATTGAATAAATAGTGTTGATCAAATGTAGATGTACAATTTCGCTTAAATTGTGTTATTCTGTCTTTTCTCTTACTTGTGTTTGTAGGATCTTGAGAGCAAAATAATCACGTTTCTGAAGAATGAACTGGAGAAGTTAAAGAAAATATTACAACATGAGAACACACAACACTTTGTGAAGGACTTTAATGAGAACAGATCCAGTATCAAATCAGCAGCTCTTGATCTCACACTACATTACCTGAGAGAGATGAAGCAAGATGAAGCTGCTGATGCTCTAGAAGGCAAGAGACTCATCATCATCTGTCTGATTGTCTCTTATAAATGTAGGAGAGAAAATGAAGACTAAAACTATCTATTTTCTGTTCCTGTGTTTAGGTGAGCTGTTCTTCATTCATCAGCTGAAATGTGGCCTAAAGAAGAAGTATCAATGTGTGTTTGAAGGAATGGCGAAGCAAGGTGACTCCACACTCCTGTATAACATCTACACAGATCTCTACATCACTCAGGGTGGCAGTGAACAGGTCAATACTGAACATGAGGTCAGACAGATTGAAGTTGCTTCCAGACGTCATGAAGCACAAGAGATACAGGTTGAATGCACACATTTGTTTGAAGCGCCTGAACAAGACGAGGAGATCCGAACTGTACTGACAAAAGGAGTCGCTGGCATCGGGAAATCAGTCTCTGTGCAAAAGTTTGTTCTGGACTGGGCTGAAGGAAAAGAAAATCAAGATATCAGCTTCATATTTCCTCTTCCATTCAGAGAGATCAACTTAAAGGAGAAAGAAAAACTAAGTTTGATGGACCTTATAACTCAGTTTTTCCCAGAGACAAAAGGACTGAACCTTACAAGAAGGAATCAGTTCAAAGTGCTGTTCATCCTTGATGGACTGGACGAATGTCGCCTTCCTCTGAAGTTTGATTGTAATGAGACGTGGTGTGATGTATCGTCACCAGCCTCTCTGGATGTTCTCCTAACGAACCTCATGAAGGGAAATCTGCTTCCTTCTGCTCTCGTCTGGATCACCAGCAGACCAGCAGCTGCCAGTAAGATTCCTCCTGACTGTATCGACCGGCTGACAGAGATACGAGGATTCAGCGACGCACAAAAGCAAGAGTACTTCAAAAAAAGATTCAAGGATGATATTCAAGCCAACACAATCATAGATCATGTTAAACAATCAAAGAGTCTCTTTATCATGTGCCACATCCCAGTCTTCTGCTGGATTTCAGCCACTGTTCTCGAGAACATTCTGGAGGAGAAGAGAAATAATGATGTGAGAAACACTCAGGCTGATGAGATCTCTAAAACACTGCAGGAATCAAACACTGAAGACACTCCCAAGACTCTGACACAAATGTACACACACTTTCTCCGCTTTCAGATCCAGCAGAGCCGCCGGAAATATGATGGAGAATACACACCAGATGTTTCCTGGGATAAAGACACCATCCTTTCACTGGGGAAACTGGCATTTCACCATCTGAAAAGAAACAACCTGATCTTCTATGCCACAGACCTGGAAGCCTGTGGTCTTGACGTCTATAAGGCATCAGTGTACTCAGGCATGTGTACCCAGATCTTTAAGGAGGAAACAGGGATCGTTCTTGGTACCATGTACTGCTTTGTTCACTTGAGCATTCAAGAGTTTATTGCAGCCCTTTATGCACATCTGTTTCTAGACATCAACAAGACAAGTGTGTTTGATCATGAGTCTACAGAACAGAAAAACAGAAATGAAACCATGATTGATTTTCTCAAGACTGCAGTGGACAAGGCGCTGGAGAGTGACAATGGACACCTGGACCTTTTCCTTCGCTTCGTCCTCGGTCTGTCACTCCAGTCCAATCGACGACTCTTACGTGGTCTGTTGACACAGCGAGACGGCACTGACCAGAGCAACGAGGGGATAGTTCGACTCTTACGAGGTCGGTTGACAAAGAGAGACGACACTGACCGGAGGAACAAGGAGATAGTTCAGTACATCAAGCAGAAATTAGAAGCTAATCTTCCTGCAGAGAGATCCATCAATCTGTTCTACTGTCTGAATGAACTGAACGACCAAACTCTGGTGAACGAGATTCAGACCCACCTTAGCAAAGGAAGTCTCTCATCTGGTGACCTTTCACCTGCCCAGTGGTCTGCTTTAGTCTTTGTGTTGTTGACATCAGAGGAAGAGCTGGAGGAGTTTGAGCTTCAGAAATTCAAGAAATCAGACGAGTGTCTCATTAAATTATCGGCAGTCATTAAAGCCTCCAGAAGAGCTCTGTGAGTCTTTTATATATTTTGTCATGTTTTACTCTCATCTGAAAAATGCATGTATCTCAATAGTTATTCCCCATCATAAACATGAAGCTATACCTGTGTGTGTGTGTGTGTGTGTGTGTGTGTGTGTGTGTGTGTGGAGACAGTTTATCACAATTTAAGACAAAATATTAAATATCTTGTAAAATTTTTTGCATGATTGTTTTGTATCATATGATACACCAGACTTGTATGACTTGTTATATAGAATATTATATTATCAAATACTCATACTTGAGGTAGAAAAAAAATCCATATTTTATTCATATACCCAAACTGGGGGGAAATAATGTAATTTGGTACAGAATAGATGTTATTTATATTGCCAAAACGTAATATTAAATTTTGAAAGGTTATAGATAAAACATTGAGATTTTTATAAAACAGGCTACTAAAATAAAATACCTACATCTCACCACATCATATACTAGTTTTCCCTCAGTTTCTCCCAGTAATTATATATTTAAATGCTTATTTCTATGAGTACTTCTGTAGTTTAATAGGTTAGTTCGGTATTTTACACTTAAAGCCCTGTTTTAAGATCGTTTCTGATGAAATAGAACGGTTAAGATTGAAATTTGGACAAAAGCTGCTGTCTCAAGAATTTTAGGTTTGTGTGTTAGCACCCTCCACCTACACAATGGTTGTCTATGTGCACTGGAACAATCATTCATAAAACGCATTAAACTTTAGTTTACTAAGACGTGAAACTCACCGAGGGGTCTGGGGTGTTCACTGATATGCTCACACAAAAATCACGGCAAAAGATGCTTTCCAACAGGTTTTATTGTAGTTTTTGCAAAAACAGTATTGCAGTAGACATACAATTTAAAAGAAAAGAAACACAACAAATTAAATGTATTTTGCTATTACATTATATCTTCATACAAAAATAAAAACTTTTGCAACTAAAAAGTGCAAAATGCCAAGCTTTGGCCAGCTTTCAAATACATTTAATTTAAGTTTAAAATAAAACTTAAATAAACAGCTTTTATATTTAGCTTTAAAGTGCTATAGTCAGATCAAACAAACAATCATGCTAAATGAAGAACTTAACCACCAGTCAACCTGGTACTTCATACTCTTGTGGTGCGCGCACAGTCTTCACTCGGACGCATTCTTCAATCTATCGCCGTATCGCTGATGAAATCACAAAATAAAATGCACATAAATGTGTCCCTGCTTGATATAGAGTGTAACCACTGATGAACATATTCGGTTTTGATGAGAGAGAGGAAAAAACTATGAGTGCAGATTAAAAACCCATAATGTCACAGTCCTTCGTCTGCACCATCCTGTCTGCGTCTCCTGCACTACACTTCCCATGATCCTCTCGTCTGCACACCTGAACTCACTCCCTCATCAGCCTCCCGTTCAGCGTCCTGTTTCACCTGTTTGCACCTCATTATGTTTGATTCCCCTGTGTATTTAGTTCCTCCTCATTCAGTCTGTCATTGTCGGTCGATGTTGATGTTACCCTTCCGTGTCGTGAGGGTATTCCTGCCTGTACCCGTGCCTGTTTGCTATTCTGAGTTAAATTAAAGTGTTTGCATTGGAGCATTTGCCTCTTGTTCTCCTTCTTCTGCCTACACTCCACCGGCACCGTGACAGATCGACCGACCTTCAAAAAAGGAAAAGGAAAAAAAAAATGGACCCTTTCGTAGGGGTCCAATTGCTCTGTTTAGAGCAAGCGGACCGGTCTCTGGAGGATCATCTGGCGAATTTCTTCCACCTCGCTTCCGCCACAACCTTCCCGGACGACTGCCTCTGCAGCTTCCTGTACGCCGGCCTCAACACCGCCACCAGAGAGCAGTTGTCCGGGAGTGGTCCCCAGGGGAGCTTTGCTGCATATGTTGAGTGGGTGCTGGTGTCCTGTGGATCACCTTTCACCATCGATGACGGCACCAGCCCCACTCCAACGCCCGAGCTCTCCTCATCGCTGGTTCCGCCCAGCCCTGTCCAGCCAGAGACCGTCCAGCCTGAGCCCTCCTCCCCGCTGGTTCCGTCCAGCCCCGCCGAACCCGTGCTTTCCTCTTCGCTGGTTCCATCCAGCCCGTCCAGCCAGCGCCAGAGACCGTCCAGCCAGCGCCAGAGACCGTCCAGCCAGCGCCAGAGACCGTCCAGCCTGCGCCAGAGACCGTCCAGCCAGCGCCAGAGACCGTCCAGCCGGCCCCAGAGACCGTCCAGCCGGCGCCAGAGACCGTCCAGCCAGCGCCAGAGACCGTCCAGCCTGCCCCAGAGACCAGGATCCCACCCAGCCTCCCTCTCCCACCTCCTCCCGTCACGCAGCCGTCAGCCCTTCCGTCTGCCAGCTCCCCTGACCCAGCCTGGTCGTTGGATCCCCGGCCTTCGCCTCACACCTCCGCCATCTGGACACTTCCTCGGCCCCCTGTCCCATCTGCTCCCCCGTGGCTCTTACCTCCCTCAGCTCCTCCATGGCCCATCAGTCCACCAGCTCGGCCAGGCTCCCTCGACCCTCCGGATTCCCTTCGCTCCCTCGTCATCCTCCCTTCACCTTTGGACTTCCTTACTATGGCTCCGCCCCGTCATGTCACCCCCCCGGTTCTGCCGGACTACTCACTCCTTCCAGTCACCCGTCAGCCCTCACTCCCTCTGGCCTCACCGTGTCCCTCTGTGCCCCTGTCATCACTTCGGTCACCTGAGCCTACGGTGTCACCATGGTCCCTCGGTCCCTCCTCAGCACCCGATGTCGTCTGTCCCTCAGCTGCACCCTGGTCTCCTCTACCATCTGCTCCGCCCCTGTCAGTCGGCCCCCTGGTGTCGTCAGCCCCAGTTCCATCGGCTCCACCAGGGGTCCTCCCTCCATCTGCTCCGCCCTGGTCTCGCCCTCAGCCTGCTCCGCCCTGGTCTCGCCCTCAGCCTGCTTCGCCCTGGGGACGCCCTCAGCCTGCTCCGCCCTGGGGATGCCCTCAATCTGCTCCGCCCTGGTCTCGCCCTCAGCCTGCTCCGCCCTGGTCTCGCCCTCAGCCTGCTCCGCCCTGGTCTCGCCCTCAGCCTGCTCCACCCTGGTCTCGCCCTCAGCCTGCTCCGCCCTGGTCTCGCCCTCAGCCTGCTCCACCCTGGTCTCGCCCTCAGCCTGCTCCGCCCTGGGGACGCCCTCAGCCTGCTCCGCCCTGGCCACGCCCTCAGCCTGCTCCGCCCTGGCCACGCCCTCAGCCTGCTCCGCCCTGGCCACGCCCTCAGCCTGCTCCGCCCCCAGTTCGTCCCCCCTCCTTCCTCTGTTCTGCGGCGTGAGGTCACGCCTCCCGGGAGGGGGGAGTTCTGTCACAGTCCTTCGTCTGCACCATCCTGTCTGCGTCTCCTGCACTACACTTCCCATGATCCTCTCGTCTGCACACCTGAACTCACTCCTTCATCAGCCTCCCGTTCAGCGTCCTGTTTCACCTGTTTGCACCTAATTATGTTTAATTCCCCTGTGTATTTAGTTCCTCCTCATTCAGTCTGTCATTGTCGGTCGATGTTGATGTTACCCTTCCGTGTCGTGAGTGTATTCCTGCCTGTACCCGTGCCTGTTTGCTATTCTGAGTTAAATTAAAGTGTTTGCATTGGAGCATTTGCCTCTTGTTCTCCTTCTTCTGCCTACACTCCACCGGCACCGTGACACATAACTTCTGACACGCTTGGCAAAAGATCTAGCACTAGACCATTTAAGAACTCAAACAAAATATGCGGATCGATGGATTCGTTTACGGGTTGAGCAGAGAGGCTGCACAGTTTGACCAGCGGGCAGCGGCCGCACACCAGTCCCCCGGATGCTGTTGCTAAGAACTTACAATTTATCACTATTATCAGACCGGCCCTCGCGGCCTAACTTGCTGCGTTAAAGTGAGACTCTTATCGAGCGATAAAAAAATATTGTCGTTAATCTATTCTCAAAGTTGGGTTGGGAGCTGGGTCTATACTATACAAGCTATGATGACTTTTACCTTGATATTTTAGCGCAGATGTATACCTAGCCGAATTGCACTGTAAGGGGCATTTAATACCAATCTGTTTATCCAGACATTAGGAAAATATCAGTCAATGCATTTTATATTTAATATGAGGGAAATACACATCTATAACGGACGTGACACAAAAAAACAAACCTTTAGGTGTACAAAAAGTAATAATACCCATCGGTTGAAGCAAGGTTGGCTCTCCACAGAACATAAAATATTAATTTTGTATTATTTTTTATGTACGCATTTATGAGGGGAAAACGATATTATGTGACAGTTCCCCATTACGGACTTGACCACTCTGAAAGCGGCACTGAAAGACTGCTTTAAAACTTTCACATTAAACATAAAGCACAAAGCCTTTCATTAAGTTGAATTTCGTTTTATATTAATAGTATGTTAATTTTTAATCAATGTTTCATCAACCAATTGCCTGGATTTAATAA